GGGGGGGGGGGCAGGGCGAAATCTTCACTTCCCCACTCCCATCCCTCTCTTTATTTGTTTCTCTCCCCAGCCTTCCGCTGCCGTTAAAATTAAGATGGCGGCCACAATTTGCGTCATGAAGTTACTGAGCACTCTCTCGCCAAAATTACGTCTGCTCTGCAGGCTATTTGCAGAGCCATTCATTGGTGAGCCATTCGATTTGGTGAGCCATTCAATAGTGAGACATTCACATTTGCTATAATTAATTTTGAACCAATCCACTCGCCATACACTTCTTGACTGTCGCTAATCAGCACTAATCAGCAGGTACTTCTTTGACTGTTCACCAGTCTTCTCATGTTCCGACGCCTGAAACTATTGACATGTTTGCGTTGTTTTTATAGGTATAAGCATGAAACCGCGTGGGTGTTTTCGACTGTTTGTGCTCTGTTTCCTCACCAGGGTAACCTTGTCACAAGTAGGAATCGATCGAAATGATTTAGGAGACCTGTACAAAGCTTTAACGAATGCTCTGTCCTTCTGCAACAATGAATACCACAATTTGGATTCGAACGCCTTACTTGGGCTCCGTGTGGCACAAGGTAGAGATCATATAATTTATGATACTAGTTTTGATTAATTTCGTGTTGAAATTATTGCAAGGAATGAACATTTTCTTTATTTTTGACCCATAATTTCCTGTCTGTAACTTTCTGACGGATTCGGTTCTAATAGCATTATTTGTTCATAGTTAATAGAATTTAACCCTAAGAGGGGAGGTAATTCCTGTCGATAGGCTTATTAGGATGTGCCACTGGATGGGGTTACATTTCCATGTCTGGATTGACTATAATGGGCTTGCATTTTCAATAATAGGAGTTGCCATAATTGGGTAATTTGAAATTATAGACTGAATTGATATTAGGTAAATTGGCTACCGTAAAGAGTTTAAAAGCTGATGTAGAGCGTTAGCCCTTCGTTAGAGCCCAAAGGGCTCAGCTTTTAAACTCTTTATGGAGGCTAGTTTATGGCATCAACTCAGTGGATATTAATAAATTACCCTGGTATACTCTCCTACCACAGTTTCAGCTCCACAGTTTCTTTTTGACCCCCTTTACCACAATAGGGCTGCACTAGTTAACCCTTTACACCCTAAGATCAGTATGTATGTTCTCTATACTGTTTTGTATGAATTTCCTAAGGTGCCGACAAGGTGATTTTACTTAACAATCAAGGGCTTGTTGATCATTTCCATTATTCTTGTGATCTTAATGATTGATTCAGTGATGATACTGTGAGGAGAAATTAGATGCTCGTCATATACGTAAACATAGTTACGTAATACGTAAACAGGATTAGAGTAAGGCTTATGATTAGCCACAAAATTAACCACAATGGAGTAGGGGTTGTGAGAGGTCAATGGCACATAGCCAGCAAAAATTGACTCAAGTTAACTCTCCCTCCCCTCCTTGGTGAGAACAAAGGTATATCTTTCACCCTTGCTATGTTTTATCTTTGAAATCCTTCAAAATTTGCTTTTCGAACTCCATCAGAAGGTCTGTTCTTTACTGCAGTTACTTTTGCTAGATAGCTTTGTTAAAAGTGTGAATTAGGTTAGTCACTAAATAGCCTCGATTGGCCAATCGAATTAAATTTAATCAGCTTGACTCTAATTCCCACTGAAATAAAATTACACAGTGCTTTACAGATTTATCTCTGTGATGTGCAAATTATGATTGTTCTAGCATAAAACATCTGTTTTTTCAAGTTATTGTAGTTGTTGTTGTTTTTTGTAACTAAATTAATCTTGAGTTTGTAATTAAGCCTAGTGAAGAGCTTGTCTGATGGCTGAGGTACCTTCACCAGTATTTTAACCCTTAAACTTCCATTAGAACTGATTGTTAAAGGAAATTCTCCTCTCTAGCTACCACATGTTTCCTTGTAAATAAGTTGCAAGAATTTTGTATTTGATAAATGTAACAACTTCTGTATAAGTTTGAGTATTCTCGTCACCTGTTTGCTGGTTTATATATGGATAATATAAGGAGAAGTTACATGTCTATCACCTCTGGGTTTTAAAGGTAATTAGTCCACCAAAGGACACCAAGAGGACTTTAGGTCAGCCATTTCCAGCCACGAGCAAATGTTTTGAATAGTTTTCAATCATTTGACTTTAGAGTTTGGAACCCTCTTATGTGGGAACAAGTGTCATCAGAACTAGTGTCCCTGGACTCCTAAACAGGCCTGAATTGTTTATGGCCTAATTTCCTCTCCTGCTTTAACCCTTTAACTCCAAGTCAGAATTTCTCCTTACAATATCAATGCAATATTAACCAGATAAGTGATTATGGTCAGGAAAAGAAAAATATCAATTTGGAGATGATTAGTTGATCCAATACCAAATTCTCTGAACTAACATAAGAATTGTATGGTTGACAGTAAGGAGAATTAAAGATTTGATCTGGGAGTTAAAAGGTTAATAGTGTTCATTACTGTAAAGATCACTCTCATATTCTTTTTCTAATCCATTGTTCAAACATATGATCTTTATGTATGCACAGCCATCTATTCATTACTTTGCGGGTTTATTACAAATTAACAAAATGACCAACTTCCAGTTGGCTTATTGGCTCAGTTGGCAGAGCATTGCACCAGTATTGTAAGGGTAATGGGCTCAAATCCCATACAGGCCTGAATTTATTTAAAGCTTTATTTTCACTACTGCCTCAGTAGTGTCTACATTTTCAGTTAAAATTGTCTTGCTTATCATTGAATCTTAAAAAGTGTCTTATCTCCCATGCAGGCTATAGCAAGTACTGATTCCCGTCAATGACAAAGTTATCCATTTTTCCTGTGTAGTTAATTTGAAATTTAAGATTCCTTATACTGTATTGATACTTTGTCAGTCTGATTATGGGCAACTTCACTGTTTACTCTCAGGGCTTGTTTTTTTTTTTTTTTTTTCCTTTTGTGATGTTAACAAATGTTTTCCAAAATATGTTTTGCCTGACTTTTATCTTTCATTTTTCACAACCAAGGTTACATCCACAGAATTTTAGCAGATACTGAAAATGGTGAAATTAAACTCAACCAAGATATTTATAGCAGCATGATAAACCTGCTAAACAGGACGACTGAAGTTGTAGAACGCATGCTTCCTTTTCTCTGGAAACAGGATCCTTTGTTTTATCCAATGCTGAATTCTTCATGGACTTACTTCAAACCTTACAAATTTTTGGAACCACAGGATGTTGTTGAGAGACAAAAGATCAAATCTGGCGATGAAGAAAAATATTCCAATTGTGTCGGGGAAATTGTAGGGAGTAAGGAGAGCTCTATGGAGCCCTGCACCATATCTGATGATTGTTGGGGAATTATGAAGTCAAAGGGTGCTCCTAATAAAGTGCTCTACTATCAAGCTTTGTTCTTCCTCTTAGGGGAAGCTTCAGGTACATACATAATTTATGTTTTCTTTCATAGCACCCTCCGAACGTAACCCTTTACACCCTAGTATCAGTATGGGTATTCTCCATATTGTTTTATATACATTTCCTAAGGTGCTGATGAGAAGAATTTGTGTAATTAATGATCAAGAGCTTCTTTAGTTAGAGATCATTTCCTTATTCTTGTGACCTTCATGTTAGATTCAAGGGTGATATCATACAGAGAAAGTAGATGCTTTTCATTTGTAGGCTGTGAAAGGGTTTAATCCCTGGAATGCTCAGTAATTATTACTTTTTCTTTTAAAAAATATCACTACTTAATATGTTGTTATTGTGGTCACTTCCATAGAATCAAACAATTTTTTTCATAAGAAATGAACAATGATTTCAAGAAGGTTCAATTGCATCACCACATGTATATGACTTGTCTGTGTGTATACAACCTGCTTTTGTGGTTGAATACATTGACTGTGTTTCTGAGCTGCTTAGCTGTATCTCAAAAAGGAATGTTAATGCTGGCAATTTAAGTTCTAACAATTGTTATCATCATTATATTATTAATAGTATTCCTATGATGTTTTTTGTTGTTGTTGTTGATATGTTTATTTGTTGTACCTCAGTTAGTACATGCTTTCTGATTGGTCAATTTAACAGGCTGTATTTCACTGTACAGTCTGCTAAATTATAAAGTTTATTTGAATCAAAGTCTTCCACCTCTACACCTTGTGTTTGAACCCAAGGTATGATAGATATCTTACTAACCTTATTTTCTTAGTCACTCTGGAAGTTACCAAACCTTATTTTTCCAAATTTATGGTATTTTGGGCAGAAATCTAAGCAGATAAAACTTGGTCCATAAGTTATAGTGCAGACCTTGAACTCAGTTCAGTTAGAGTTATTTAATATTTTCTTTCTATTTCTTTACATTGGTGGCAAACAAGGCTGTCATCACAAGCTGTTATCAAGAATAAAATCCTCTGGTGATAACCTAGAGACCCACCTGCAGCACATCTGCACCTTGGCTTATTTCACTAATTCACGGGCTCTGTTTTATGGTGAAGATGGTGATTCAGTGGATCTCATGTTAACATTGAAGTTGAGCTTTAGTTGTGGATTGTTGGGTTACTATGAACTTCTCACAGGGGAGGGATTAGGAAATGTTATAGGCTGGCAGCTGAATAGTGGATGTTTCGGAGATAACAGCATAATAGATGAAGAAAAAACGAGGTGTGTAAGTTACAATAAATCTGCCTCAAGCTTTCCTTAGACTCAATTAAAAAACACATACCTTACTCCTCTTAAAGAAGAAGTTATTCTTTCCAAACTACATTTATTTACACCTTTGCATAGCTTTATAATTACATTTAGTGGTTTGATTAATGCATTAACCCTTTAACTCCCAAGATCTGATTGTCAATTCTCCCTTCTATCTGCTAAACATTTCCTTGTAAACAAGTTACAAGAGTTTGGTGTCAGATCAAGATAACAACGTAAATCTGATAAGTTTGAATATTCTCATGACCTTTTTGCTGGATAATGTTTAGATACCAAAGGGAGAAATTACTTGTTAATCACTTCTGGGTTAACATGCATGTTCTCCATACCACTCTCTATACATTTCATAAGGTGCTGACAAGGAGAATTTGGTTATTTATCAAGAGCTTCATTAGTTAGAGATCATTTTCTTTATTCTTGTGGCCTTAATATGTGATAAACAGGTGATGCTGTGAGGAGAAATGAGATGTTCTGTACTCTTAGAGGTCAAATGGTCAAAACAGGAGCATGTAGAGATCATTTGACCAGAGAAGTCCTTGACAACATTGTTTATATTGTTTTCACCATCAGTGAGACGAACACAGGAAAAGGAAGGCGAGAATTGAGGTCCTCCTACCTCGGAAGTGAGTATCAACTGTCTGCTCAGCTGCTTGCCTGACTGACTGATCAAATGAAAAACTGACAGATTGATTGATGATGGACACAGAGACAGATAGGCAGTTGGGCAGTTAATGAACAGTTGGAAGCACTTATGAGCAAGCCCTGGTGAAAGGGAAGGGAGAAAGTTGTCCTTAGCTAGAGTTAGCCACTTTCAATAATTATTTTTTTAAGCAGTCACCAGAAGAGCAAGCTTTAAGTTGGTGCCTATGCCTACTAACAGCTGTTGTTAGTTTGACTTAACAGTAATTCCACTCACTGAAATACAATACTACGAATTTACTGTGACAGCCAGCAGTGTGAGGTCGACCGACTAAGATTCAGAAGCTCATGGAATTTCCACTCAAGTGTCCATTAATATGTCGATTTTACACCTTTTTTTGGACCCTTTAAAGTGTTTGCTTCCTAACAGAGAAATGTTTACTTATGAGAATGTGCATGGAATAGTGAGGAGAGAGCAGAGAGATTTCACTGCATTATAATGCTGCCAGACAGGACTGGGGGACATTGTACAGTTCTGAAGAGGGAGGGGTGGGAAAGTTTTGTTGGAGGATTGGTTATCAACCACAAAAATACAATCGTTATAAAACTTGTGAAAAAGAAACCTCCTTTTATTTGATTTGTTTCAATTTGACCTGATAACTTTCAGAGAAAATCATGATAGGCTGTTTGTTTGCTTGTTTGTTTTTTGCAGAAGGTTGCTTTAGTGACATCACTGGAGTGGGCATAGGACTCCTATCTCTATACCTTAGATGGGTCCTGGATCCTCCTCCTCAGGTCCAGCCAGTAGATCTCATAGAGAGTGCCAAAGAAGATGCCCAAACCATATCGGTCTACATGTATATTCTTCTCTTAGTCACTGCAGCTTTTCTCTTTGCCATCAGAGGAAGAATTTTGGAAATGGTTTCTTTCTTTAGAGGAACAAATAGCTATACGGTAGAGAGGTTACCAAGTTAGAAAAATAAAAATTAGGGATGGTTACTATTTTTAGTCAAAGGTATGAAAAACACCGTAGGTCACTCAAAGAGATAATATTTTATCATTTAAAATGTAGAAAGTTTAACAGAAAAGGAGATACTATCCATACACATGTGTGGATCTGACTTTTGCAAGCCTTTAGATTAAGGCGTTAAACCCTCTAGGAGTGATTAGCATCTAATTTCTCCCCACAATGTCACCCCTGAGTGACACATTAAGGTCAAAGGAATGAGAGAAATGATCACCAACTAAAGAAGCTTTGGGTTGTTAAACAAACTCTCCTTGTTAGCACCTTGAGAAATGTATAGAGAATGGTATCGAGAATTTGGATACTGATGTTTGGGTGTAAAGGGTTAAGAGGAGTTAACAAGGCAGTACCATTATTTAGGTAGCTGCAGGCTCACTGCATAGTGACTGGTGTTGTAGCATGGTTATGTAATTACATGTACTGGTTGACATTAGCAGCAGCATTTCAATTTTATTTAATCGTTTAGTGATGCATTAAATTGAGCTATTTATGGAAAGTGACTCTCTAGCTTAGAAGAGCTGTTGTATTACAGTCAAAAAATAGAACCAAGGCATCATGTTTACCCTTCCATTCATAGGAGTGCTGAAAAGTAGCTTCTCCTTACAACATCACTGTACCGTGAAGTAGAGAGGGCAATTAGAAATGGATGGAAATTAATACCTCTTTGACTCCTAAGAGTGACTAGCATGTAATTTTTCCTCACAATATCACTCTTTAATCACACATTACGGTCCCAAGAATAAGGGAAATGATCACCAACTAAACAACCACTTGCTCGTTAAACAAATTTCCCTGGTTACCCCTAGAACAGTAAGGAGAATCTGCATACTAATGTTAGGGTGTAAAGGCCGGGTTATAGGGGCTCTTGTTCCACTAAACACAAAGCTCTCAGGGTCTGAATATAAGAATTGTACTGCAGAACAGACTTTTACTGCCTATCATTTAATCAATGTAACGTAACAATTAATTTCTGCTACTGTCAAAAACAGTTCAATTTATAAAGCTCAAACTAACAGCTATAATGTATTTAAATTCTGGTGTTAATATTACCGGCCTCCTTTGCGCGCATTTATCGTTAATCATTTAACTTGGAAATAAAGCTTTTATCGCGTCGATATATGAGCCACTGCCATCATTGCGTTTGACTTCAGATTTTTTTCAGTTCCTTTTGTTTTCCTTAAAGCTGTCCGCTTGGATTGTAACTTAAGTAGTTAAACTCACTCCTCCCAGAACAGATGCTTACAGTCCAGTATTTTTAGTTGATTTTTCTCTGAGGACTGAAAGAGGGTGGCGATGATGCCTCTCCAGTCTAGGAAGTACATGTTGTCTATCAACATCATGATGATGGCGATTAAGAGCACGCTCGTACTCCGCTAGGTTCCAACGTTCCTCTGGCTAAGAAGGAAAGAAATACTAAGTGATTTCATTAACTGTACATGAAAAAAACGTTGCGGATTCTCTTGTGTTGATAAAAGAAATCTCGTTTATTGGTTAACACTGGCGTCCTCCCCCAATCGCTCCCTCGCCCCGAATTATTAAGGCCAAATCATGGCTTGAGCCTAGCGAGGACATATTACAGAGATGAGAGATCTGTTTGTTATCATAGCCCTAACGACGGAAAAGCCAATATTACCCCTGGGCTTCTGTCAATTTGCGGGTTGGCGAGCCTTTGTAAGGAAATATTAAAAGCTCAAAGACTCCCCCCGCCCC